TCCTGAATTTTGTCAACAAAGTTTAAATGGACAACCTACCAAAAATATTTTCGAAATCTAACCCCACCACCCCCACCCCCACCTATTCAACCACCCTAATGAAGATATAAAATAAAAAATAAAAAAATGGACAGCTAATATAGAAAGACAGAATGGAAACCAAATAAGTCAACAAAAGGAGCCTAGTTGAACAAGAGACACTGCACTTTACTTGCCTGACATGCAACTGAATAGTTGGTTTTTTAATCCATCCGATGAGCAAACATTGACCAAAATTTTATCCCTAGGTACTCAAGCAGATATTAATTTTGGGCTTATTTTAATTTGTGGTTGAAAATAAAGTTTGACAATTATTTAATATAAATTTTACCAAATTGAGACTTGAACTTAATTTGTTTGTTGTTAAGAACTTGCGTGGTTGACTTAAAAGTTACAAAGAGATTTAGTTACTATAATTTTTTTTAGTGGGACAGTCTTATATGTACACTTTGTACTACCGTTCATTTAAATTACATTATCTTAAATCTCGAATCATTCAAGTTATGACTCTAAAGAGTATATGCTAAACATGCTCGAAAGTTTTGAAGTCGACCAGTCAACAGTTGAGCTAGATAAACTCAATCTTTAGTTTTAATTGGAAAGTCCACGGATTGCCTCTTGAGGCTCTTTCAGACATTGGGGTTTGACTGACTTGGGGTGATTGTCCAATTCTTCTCTGATCCCACTTGCTCCAGCAGGGTTCAATTAACACTTCCTTTTATCTTTGAAGTACTGGAGTACTTTCGATTATTACATACATCCCCTGAGTCACATTCGAAGGGCCAGCAGGCAGGCGTTTAAAAAATAGAAATATACAAGAATTAGTGACTGCTGCTAACACCTAGCCTCCCATCGTGCAATTCACTAGCACAACCTCAAACTCAAGACAAAAATTCAGATTATAGAATGAATTCTCAGAGAAACTAAAACCGAAATCTCTCTCTTAAATGCACAAAGTTGTTAGCCTCTCGTCAAAACAGAAGGTTACCTTTCCTCAATACACAAAGGCATTCCTTACTTACACTGGGCCTCGTTTCCTTCCTCTTTGGGCTCAAGTGACAAG